ACTTCGCCCATGAACCCTGCTTTATTAATATTTTAGTTCGGACACTCATCGATAGGTCGGAAAACAAGCTATTCGAATCGTTCCCAACATTCAACACATGCATTATATTCTGAATATAGTTTTGATTGTTTAAAGTGCAAACAAGAGACAAAATAATGTGGCAACATTGACAATTCATTATTCTCTTGGCTTTCGCATATTTGTAAAATTAAATCCACATGCACAGACCTTTTATACTATATAGTTAGAAAATGATTTGTGTGATGAATGGGCGATTAATTTGTCAGGCAGTTGATTGCGTTTCGGAAATAAAAGGAAGGAAAATGGCTTGCGTATTTAAGTATTTTTCAGATCAGTTATGAACGTTTTATAAGAGTGTAGAAGCATACCGGATGTCTCAAAAGAAGCATAAAATTCATAGCACCTTGTATAATTAAAATTTGGCAAAAAGGTAGGTAATTAAGCGTTTTGAAATGATTTTTTTTTTAGATTTTCTCGTTTTATTTCAAGGAGCTGTGGCGTCATTTTGTTTAATTTTCTTAAAAACAGTTCGTGAGAACACTTATAATTAGGTACTGGATTTTTATTTAAATAAACTAACTTTTTTTTTAAATATGAATTTATTATTAAAAAATCGCAAATAAAAATCCGAAAAAATAGTATATCTGAAAAATAAGTTGCTGAAATAATTTGTAAATTCTGAAACACATCTCAATAATCCCCCTATGAATTATCAAGACCATATAGGGACCCCAAAGGTTAAAACAAAAACTGGTAGATTTTAAAAACCTGTCATCGCTGGGAGTCGAACCCAGACTTCTACTTTACCCGGACGTGCGTCCTTACCGTTAGACTATCAACGACATTGACTGTCGAGATTCCTAAACGGAAATTTGAAGTATTTGTTTTCACCTTTGGGGCCGGGGATGGACTTGATAATTCGTAGGGGGATTATTGATATTTGTTTCTGAATTTTCAAATTATAACTTTTTTAATATAAAATATGGCGTATTCCATTTAAAAAAATAATGACATCACAGTTTCGTGAAATAGAACAAGAAAAATTTGTTTTTGCGTTTTTACCAAAATGTAATTACCTATAGAGGTTTCATGAATTGTATGCGTTTCTTTTATGACACACTGCTAAGTACTTTGACAATTATATTGTATTTATATTATATATCCAGGGGCGCATATACGGAGATGATAATGGGGGTAGATACCCCCTACGAATTTTGGAACCTAATGTTATATAGCAAACGTCTGGGACAGTACGTATGTAACCTACTTTAAGTGAAAAAAAGATACGTGTAGGTTAAATCTGTGGTGTTCTTCTGCAGCCACTTTTCCAAAATTTAACTTAGTTTAAAATTAAAATAGCACAATTTCGAATATTTTGACAATTTTATTTTTTTTATATTTAGAGAGAAACTAAATAAAATTTTGGAAAAGTGGAAAAGAGGAACGCGGATTTAACCATTACCTACACAAACAATTTAATTTACTTGTTGATTTTACCATTAGCATAGGATTACCTATCATATGTTCTTCTGGTTCTTACACTTTATATGAATTTTCTAGTTTCGGTTTTCTTGGGTCAAAGGTGTTTAAAGTAAAACTACAGGGCTTTTTTTGTAAATCGTGAATATATAATAGATTCAAGACAGAAGTCTGCGTTAGGTATTTTGAAAGAGAATATCTTTTTCAAAATACCTAACGTAAGATTCTGTCTTGAAGGAAAAATTCAGGTAATTATTTTTTTTTAATTAAATTCTTACTTTGATGAAATATGAGTTTTAAACTCATTTGGGCCAGACCGATTCTACCTGGTGAGCACTCGGCAAGGTAATATGAACTACTATATATGGATAAGCAGTCTATATAAACTATATACGTCATTGGTCTATACCGATTCATCTTAGCAAGGTAGAGAAAGATAATGAATTTGACTACTATATATTTCGTACAGAGTTAGATCATAATATTTTTTAATACTATTTTCGTGGTATAGTAATGTCAAAGAGCATCGTATAATCAATACGCCCGGTAGTGACTCTTTTTAAAATTATATTGAGATATAAAAAAATATAGTAATTTTTTTGGAGTATCTTTAAGATATCCTATTACTATTATCATGTAAAACCTAATTAAAAAATACAACAGTGGCCTGATATATAGTGTTAATGTTAGGCCTCAGCCCCCTTCCCTTTCTAAATTCCGTTATTTTTAAAATAAAGATGCATTTTGATAAAATATTTTTGTGCCATACTATTTCTATTTCTACGAAAAAAATATGACATCGGGATTTATATGCCGCGTTTGAGAATCCACATCGGATGCATCTGAGATGTAGTAAATCTTTGATCACGTGATTCGGTATACGTAAATGTAATGGGACAGATGTGTCCGATGTGGATAAAAAAAATGCTCGAGATGTAAAAAATGCATCCGATGCGGATTCTCAAACGCGGCGAATATATGGATCGGCATCACTGCAATATATCCGTCGAGTGCACAAAATGCGATCACCTGAGAGTCAGTAGCAGAACCTTCGGTCTAAAATGGGGAAAATAGTTTTAATAACGTTTTTTGTTTAACGCGGAGGTCGTTTTAAACTGCCACATTAATGATATATTATGCGTCTAAATGGTATTGTGATTCAACAGAAACTTCAATTAAAGTAAGAATGTATTTTAAGCTAAAACGTTTTTAATGTATAATTCCTTTTAAATGAGGCATAACAAAATAAAATATTCAAAGCCACATTTTAGCAGGCTAAAAATCGAAAACTAGATAACATTAATAGGCAATTAAAAAAATATTTTTTCTACACACACATGGATATTATAGCTTATCTACGCACAGATTACAAAACGAAAAAGTATGCTATTGCCTTCAACTGAACAAATATATTTGATATCCATTCTAGATAGTGAGATCACTGCAACAAAATGAAACCCACCAATCATCGTTCATATTTTGATCAACCGACTACTATTATTTTTAAAATTTTAAATAAGTGCAAATTCTGTCAAACTAATTGTCAGTATATTTTTTAGTTATCGAGATTAAACATACATTAAAATGGATTATTCTTGTGTAGAATCGATAAATAATAGCATTTCTGTTTTTATTTCATCTATAATTAATATAATAATTTGTTAATTTAAATAAAACTATCAGACGACTACCTTTTCCAGACGGCTGTTTTAACCCAGTTGACAAGCCTTCAATAAAGGCTTGTCGTGCACTTGTTATATGACCATCCTGCCATACTTTTTTGACCGTATGTCCTTGATTAACCCACGTCTCATCCATGTAGTAAATTTTTTTTTTGATATTCCGAAATTCCTCAATTTTTCGGAGATAATTTCTTCTCCATACTATTATTTCCTGACGTTCAATGAGAATGCTTTTCCTGTCGACTTTTCCGTACGTAAATTTCATTTCGTGTAAAATTTTCCTCAAAGTTTCTTTACTCATTTGTGGGACCAATTCATGATCGCTAACTGCCTCCAGAACTTTTTGCAAAGTAGGCAGCTCATTTCTGAAAAAGAAACTGTGAATAGTTGTGCGCATACTGTTTTTGGCTTCTTCATCAACTGTGATTTTTTTTCTTCCGCTACTAGTTTTTGGCGTTTGTACTTCCCCATGAATTTTGTTTTCTCTTAGTATTTTGTAAACTGATGATTTTGGTACACCCGTATAATCAGAGCACATATCAACTAATTTATCTTTTGTAATTGTGGAAGTTAATGATGTTGGAACGCCCGGTTGGTTATTCGGAGGTACATCCGTAGAATTACAGCACATATGCCCTAAGTTATCTTTTGGTCGCTGATGATCTCTTTCAAGACAGTGAAATACTCGAAGTACAATTTGTTTTTCACTTAGCGACCGAGACTTCGACCGTTTTACCTTTTTCGACGTTGAAGGCCCTTCAATGACTTCCATTTTTTGCATAGTTTTAGAACGGTGTAGAAATATTATTATTTAATGTTTAAACACTTATTAGCACTAATATTTTCACCAATTGTTCTTACAACACGTCGATTACTTACTAACTTAACTGTAAAACTTACAATTCACACCGTATAATTCAAAACCCGATGTTACGCTCGTGGTTAGAAATACACTACTGAGAACGTCATCGACGAGATGGATTTTACGCGTAACAGACAAAGACACAAATATCGCTTCGTACACCGATGCCATTAGTTGTAACAAATACTGAACAATCCATAAAATAATTAATTTTAAATGATCAAGAAATGTATAAGTATTACTCATTACTGATTTTTGTTATAATTAATATCTTTTATTAGTACTATGATTGTATATTATCTATAATTTGCCACAACTTACAACTCTACTACTTACTCTATTTTGATTCTGCTAAAAACTAGTAAGGTAAAATTGAGATATGACAACACGGTTCACTCTCAATCATTATTTGTTTGAGTTTAGTCAATTTAATTACGAGTATTAAAGTAACAAAAATAAAAGAATAGGTCCTGTGGTTAGCGTTCTTGCCTTCCACACTGAAGACTCGAGTTCGATTCGTTTATTTTATTTTAAAAATCATAAATTATATTAAAATTTGTTATTTTGTCTTAATAACCTATTTTTGTTTATTTGTAAATTTTCGTTTGTGGGTCGTAGAAAAAAATATTCTGTACAACTCGAGTGGATTGTCCACATCGCATTCAGACGATTGAGCACTCCGCCTACGGCGTTATGCACAAATTTCGTCTTCGTGCGATATGGCCATCATACCCACTCCTGTTGCACAAACTACTATTGTCAATTTTTAATGCTTCGTGTGTCGGATTCTTTTTTTTTACAAAAATTTAAATAGTCATTTAGTAATTTTCCAAATGTAATAATGTTTCATTTTGGAATACATTTGAAGAAAACCTAATTTGTTAAAAATTATTGTTTTATCTGAACTAAGTTATTTAAATTTTTATTATGAAATAAAATAAATGTATTTGTTATAGGTCTATGAAAAGTGTAACAGCTTGGAGATCAGTACTGAGACGTTTGGGTCCAAGAAAACAACCACCATTAAAAGTACAAACCATGCCGCAAGTTATGAGATACATGCCTGCTCAAACTCTGTCTACTAGCTTGAGCACAGCATCCAAACACTCTACTAGAACACATCCTCATAGAAAACCGAGATTGCACCACATGAGATCTGGTAGTGAAACTGTTATTTAAAAATTAAATACTTCTTTAGTATAGGGTATGCAAAGGCATATGACACAGAAAATCATTGGAGCCGCACGATAGCTCAGAGAAAAGCATTCAGAATTTAATATAAGTTCTCGTCAGACTGATGAACTTTGATTTAAAAAATCACCCGTTTTTGTTGTAATATATGCTTCTAAATAAAACAAATTACCAGTGAAATAGTGAAAAACAACAAAATTGGATTTTAGAAATAAATATTTTAATAAGATCTCAAAAACTGAAAGTCTGTAAAAACAAATTAACAATATTGTACATAACACTCCAGTTATTTATTTTGAAATTTTTTTAGATAAAAGGAGAATAGTGCTCGATATTTACAATTTTAAAGATCTTCTTTTATTTGCCTTATTGTAAATAGTCTGTGATTAATTGTATACAAATATTTATTTTTTATATTTCTATTCATTAATGGCCATATTACAAAATCATATCTATAATTGCGTCCACAAAGGTGTTCAACCTATTTCCTATGGTCACACATATTATAGTAAATGTAATTTATCACTTCATTTAATATTACTGTTTAGGACTGTATCTAGGTTACCTTGTAAAATATATATTTTAAATAATTAAATTAAGGTAGTGGAACATAATTTAGTTATGTCTTTTTCCACAAAGACTAATATAGCTTAACAGTAAATTCTTATGACTCCATAATGTATTACCAGCTGCAGTCCTAATTTTAATGAATTTTATGTCAGTTTTATGGCAGATTGTACTTCACTTTTCATAGGAGAGGGTGTTAGACTTTAAATCTAAACAGGAATCCTCACATTTCATAAGTAACATGCAAATGGATACAAAACACACCTTACAGAGATCCATATTTCATCTCTCATAACATTTATTTGTTCATGGACTGTTCATGATAATGATAACTGCTAATGCAGTATCTACTATTATAAAATAAATATCAGCTACTTAGTTGATATAAAAAATATTATTATTATTATTATTATGAACGAAACTATTGCATCAAATCAATAATTTTTTTTTTGTTAATATATTTTGTACATATTACTGTGCCATTTATATCTTCCTAAAATTCCTTGTATGTAAGATTATAGTATTAAGATTTTTATACATATTTTTTTTTAATTTGTGTACTTACAATTTATTTATTTAGATATTAAGAAAATGTGTAAAGTGTCTTGTGATATGTGTTTAGATGTAAAGGTTAGATTATTAAACAAGTATTTGTTTATAGTAATAGTGTTTTATTTCAAATATCTACTCGATAAAAAAGAGTGAATCACCCAATTTATTGACAAAGTATTCATTTCAATCGTAGGGTAAAAAAAAATAAAAAGTATGGCGTAAATGAAGCTCTAAAAGTACTGTAACCTACCGCACCCAGGTACCTTAATAATTTATTAATTCCATGTATTAAATATAATATTGCATTCTTATTAAATTCAAAATCCTTCATTTAACGATAATTAAATTTTATTTACGATACCTAATAAATAATATATAACCCTGTCCTTAAGAGATCCACTTTTCGTGCACGTGTCTGGGAAACCGACCTAAAACCACCATAAAACATATTTCTTTTCACGAAGTAATCATCATTAAAACACTTAGCTTGCTTATCTTTCTAGTTTCAATGATAAGGCCGATTTCGACAATATTTCGATACACAAAGCTCTCAAGGCACATAATAAATTTACCACCCACTTTTCTTTCCACACTAATACGTTTTTCGCTGAGAACACACAGAGACGTCACAAAAAGCCATTAAAATTAGTATAAGAAGCCAGATCCAAATGAGCTCGGATTCATTCATTTTTTATTATTTAATGTGCAAGCATTCATTTTATTATTTTACATTCAAGCAATCACTTTATTATTTGTATCCAGTTATTTAGTCTGTACCTTTTCTAAACCGCTCTTCCTAAACGACGTCTATCCTACAATACTTCCTATCCCCGAAGGTATCAACGTCTCGACGCCCAACGTCCCGCCGTCCTACTTCCCTACCTTTCTACGCTATCACTTCTAACACTACTTTAGTATTCCCTACCATTATATTCATCCCTACTCTCAACGTCCAGACGCCCTACTTCCCTAAGTACCATATTAAATACCTTCCTCTCCTCCACGACGCAAGGCAACGCTCAATGCTGCGACGTACCTACAACGCTAGTTGAAATTAATACATAATCTAATGTCTGTATTTTCAATGTTGAGTCAAAAGATTTATGTAACCACCGGAGTCGTTTAGACGAGGGCCTGATATTTTCTTTAAAATATTATCAATCTAACCAATAAACTATATGGCCTTCAGTCGTTCATCCCGAAAGACAGTTGAGTTAGTCATCTGTTTTCGATAGAGGAATTTGAGTAATTCAATAAAATTAAATTAATAAAATCAATATTACAGGGTTGTATTAAGTCATTTCAATATAAATTATAAAAATAAATATTTTAGAAATATACAGAGATGTGCTATCTTGGATAATTTGTACAAACCAAGATGGTAAAATTTAACTGTAAGTTAACCAACTGGCGAATACGCTGTTCGTTAGCTTAAGGAGGGACACCTATACGCTAAGCAACCCGTTCTACAAGGTTTGAGAGTATATGTGAAATTAACATAGTTAGGTAACCAACTTGCGAATTGGCGCTGTTCGTTACTTCCGTTAGTCATCACCTCTATATTCGTCAAAATATTTACCTAAGAGGGTTCAACCTGTGTATATCTAGAATAGAATCATATCAATACAGTAGTTAACCAACTGGCGAATTAGCGTTGTTCGTTAACTCCGTTGGTCATCAACCTAAATAATATATATCTTGATAGCAAATGAACGTACTCTCCGTTTGAACAGGACTCAAGTGAGATCTCAGCAAATAGTACCAATTGTAATATAATTTGCTAATTATTGCATCACATTTAAAGTATGAAAAATAAAAGTTTAAATATAAATTTGTCTGGTTTTATTTATCAATTTGTATCAAACTTTGCATCGAATCCTGGTTTATTTTAATTAACATTATCACAACGTGGGTATATAAATTATCAATTAATTAAATAGACGATCACTTTTACTACTAGAGGAAAAAGGCCAAATATATTAAGTATAAACCAAAATAACGATCAAAAATGGGGTACCGGGGGTGAGCCGTTACAGTACTAAAGCATTATTTTTTTTAATTTTGACATATAAAGTGCAGGGCCGCCAAGAGCCAGGCCGGGCCCCAGGACAATTCGCTAGAACGGGCCCCGTGAAAAAAAAGTCTCCAAATAAAAACTTTTCCTGTTCCACTTGAATTGAAATCTCTAAAAAAAGTCTTCAAGCAAAAACTTTTCCTCCTCTACTTCATTAATGTTCTAAAAGAAACAAGGTCAAAAAACTTTTCCTCCTCTATATTACAATTGAATTTTAAGGTCTTCAAGTAAAAACTTTTCCTCCCTACTTCATTAATTTTCTATTTTCTAAAAAAAAAAGTTTTCATACACTTTTCCTCTCTAGTCTTGTACCGAACTGTTCATACAAACCAATAAATATCCGGTTGCCGGGCCCCCCTTATACCGCTGCCGGGCTCCCATTTGAGTGCGGTCCCCGGGAACTAGTCCCGGCTACCCCCCCCTCTCCCCTCTAGTCGGCCCTGATAAAGTGACATCTTCTGTAATCGTTGCAAGTATAAAAAATCAGTGGGGTAGCCCCCCCTGAGGGGTCCTCGCGTCATAATTTCCGCTATAGTATTGGGTCTGATCGCTATTGTTTGTTTTTATTCACTTTCTTGATGGAACCCCGCCATAGTTCTCAAAAACCCCTCCCATGAAAAATGGCTGGCTACGCCACTGGTAAAAATGATCTACTTTACGTAATCAGTTGCATAAAGTTGAACATTATGAAACTGGTTACGAAAAATTCATTGTGTCACCAGTTACGAAAAGAAATCAAGTAAAAGTAAACCTTTTTGAAAATTAATATGTAGCTAAGAAAATTGTTCTGAATCAATCGTTTTTAATTTATACATTACATGAATAGGGAAGCAAATAAAAGAGCAATAATCGAGATGACTCCTAATTGAATTGCAATAGTTAACAGGAGTTAAGGTAAGGTATGTTGGTGATAATTTTACTTTTACGTGAAAAACTTTGTAGTTAAAAAAAATTACACGTGTTTTTTTACGCAAACAAGTTTTATATATTGCTCAATACCTGATTAACAAAAACTAATTTTTAATTCAAAAATTCTACTTTAAGAATGTAATCCTATCATAGGTAAATTGCTTACAGGTAAGGTAATTTGGTGAAAGGGGCTATTTAATTTGGTGATAGGCAAAAATATCCTAATTGTAGGCATAAAAATCAAAACAGCACTAAAAATATGGTTAACGTTGCATTAGTCCGAATCTGATGATTCTCCAGCGCAACCATCACACATAAAGGTGTCCTCTTCGTCAGGGTTCGTCTGACATTTGACATGGTACCCAGACAGCACACCAAATCCTTTGGATATCTACTGAACATCCCAATATCCACTGAATGTCCAGTCCATGGTGGATATCCATTTTATATCCATGAGATGTAATTTATAGACATGCAAATGTCCATAAATAATAGTAATTATATAGCAAATTATTAAAAAATTACGCCATTGTGGCTAATAGTACCGTTCAGATATTTAAAATTAATTTTTTTAAGATGTATTCAATATCTCATTAACATCCACTAAATATATCAAAGTCTAGGCGCGAACGCAAACCATCGTGGATATCCACTAGATGTTATTTGATTTTGTTTACTAAGTATAGATGGCGATACCACTTTCGCATCTACTCATGCTTGACCCGCCGTAATTGAGTTCGACCGAAATTTGTGTCCTAGACTCCATTAGAGACTGGAGTCGAGAATTTCCATTTATTGCTGAAGAGTCCTAATAAAAATGACTTTCTCCTTAGTGGGCAAAATCAAAGGCAGAGTGTTGAAAATATTTTTTATCTCTGCTATTTTCTTTCGACGTTATTCAATAATCATTGATTACTTATGAACCTCTACTAAAGATACCCATAAAATATTTTGCTGAATATCCGAATATCTTCTATATCCTGGGATATAGACGGACATTTGGTTGGATATCCATATTGGATATATTGAATATCCACAAAATATATTATAATAATAATAATATAATAATACTCTCCCTAATTCACCCCCTTACGAGTGAATTTCAATCCCTGAAGTCGACTGAACGACTTGTGTAGGGGAAGGGACGGCTATTATTATTATTTGCCGTGGCGCTCCGGGGCGACTTAAGGATGATTAGAGAAGGTATGATGTTCAGTATCAAAACTTTTAATGTAAATAAACACTTAAACTTACATGAATGTGTACAACTATAACAAATATGGAATTAATGTAATTAATAATTAATTAAATAATATAAAGTATTATAATGCGCACAATGTATAAAAATAATATAGTATATAAATCGATATGAGAATAAAATAAAGACGCATAGTTAAAAGCAGATAGTTATTTTTGCGATTCTAGTACACATTTTGCATACCCGTTATCGTTAACTGGCTTGTTGTAAAATTTGAAAAACACATTTGATCTTTCCGACCATCCGGCTGTTTTCCGAATGTTATCAATGGTCATGCCTTTCTTAAACGCATAAGATGTTGAGGCGTGACGTGTGCTGTGACTTTTGTATATTGATGTGTCAATCCCCGCTGACGCTAATCCTATTTTTATCCATTTGCTGATAGGCTGTGAGGTTGCCGGATGGTGCGGTATCTTGAATGTCACTAGCAATTGAAGGGCTCGGTGCAAAAACCGGTCAAGTCCACTTTTCCAACAGCACAAATTCAAACGAGTATTGTATTATCATCAAACACTCCAAGAAAGCAGAGATTGCGACTGAAGATAGCAACGTTAAGGAAACGTTTGTTTGTTGCAAAAAAGAAGAAAAATCCAGCCTCCGAATATACATTGAAAGATTTT